GTGTGGGGCAGCAGTGGAAGAGAATCAAAGCAAAAAATTAAACCAAAAAGTTTACAGAAGAAATCAAGATAAAAGTAGAAACAAGTTGAAATAAGAAATAAGAAATAAGTGAATGAATAAATGAATGATAAAATTTAAAAAGTATACATGTTCAATAAAACCAAAAGCTAGGTATAGTCTGGCTGGGTAGGTGGAGAAAGCTTTTCATAGTCTACTCAATTTACTTCCAAATTGTATGAATCTTATTGAATCTAATAAGAAAGCATTCACGTATTAGATGTTACATAAAATGATGAAAAATAATGTAAAAATACCTAAGGAATTCTATGTAGGCCATAAATGCAAGAAATAAAAGACACTGCTTATTCCAATATTGATTCAGAGGTCATTATTTTCATCAGGATTGAAAAAGATGCTTTAGTAAGTCAGATACCACTATGTCTTCACTTACAGAAACGCTCTATTGGGTAAAGGGATCACTGTATCTTTCTCTTCTGGACCTGTATTTCACGGGCATTTAGTGCTTGTTCGGCTTCATTCCACATGAATCATTCATGCTCATCACTGAATTTCCTGCTCAGCTGGCCTTGTGTTATATGACCCACCTGCCCAGGGCCCTGTCTAATGCCATCGGCCAGGCTGCTTTCATCTAAGATCCAACTGGACATCTCTGGGTGCATTCAGGGCACCACACCGCTGATGATTCTGAGTACAGAGGGGCTAACTCAAGTGCCACTGGGAAGGAGAAAGACCTCTTCCTCCTCTCTTGTCAGGAACCAACAAAGCTTTCATTGTCTGAACCAGGAATTGCAAGCTGATGATGTGAAGGTCAAATCTGGCCAGCAGTATATTTTGTCTGATCCATAAAAATTCATGAATTTGTTACCAACATAAAAAATTGGGAGAAATTGAACACAAAGAGACCCTGATACTTGACTTCTCTTAAAACGAGAAAGCCTGGTACCACGGGGTCCCTGTTTTCCCACGATGACAGTGAGCCCAAGGTGTGTCAGGACTGTTCTCTATATCCCCACCACTCCCTGCCATGCCCTGACACCCAGGCCAAAGGCTGTGCTTGTCACCCTGCCTGCTTTGCTCATGTCACTTAAAATGTTCATTTTAATTGGCACTCTGTGCCAGTGATCCCAATACTTTAGGATCCAAACACCATCTCCCAAACTGATTCTTCCACCCCAAGCAGCACAAAAATTCTGTCAGACTACGTGTCCTGATTCATAGCCTGGAAAATACCATCACTGTAATAATAACTTAGTGATATAACTGAACTCATGTGGGCTGGCCAGGGCGCTGAATCAACACCTATACCACACCCTCACTCATTGATTCAATCGATTATTCGATTCACTGCTTAACGAAGATTTATTTGCAAACTAACTCTATGCCAGGCCCTTTTCTAAGGACCAGTGACAGAAGGCAAAGAGACAACATGCATTTCTGCCATCCCGAAGCTTAGGTCTATGATGGGGGAAGGGTGCTTCAACCCCTAAATATGTAACGTGAGAATGCAAATGACCTACAGAAAGTCCTGGGATGAGTGGGGGCTCCATGAACTATTTTGTATCTTCTATCCTATGAATTTTGCAACTGGATACAGGGTTTTCCCATAAATTCCACCTAGGATTTATAATTTCAGAGCTGATACACACGGGAAATATCTAATCTACTCCTTCCCGTCAAAAGGGAGGAAATGGGGACTCCAAAAGAGTGTGACTTAGCCCAGGACTCCCAGAGTTTATGGAAAAGTCCAAACTACCCTCTCTAGGCTGAATCCCAGTAACCTACTCTTTTTATTCCCCAAAACAGGAGTCATAAGCTCTGATAACTCTAGAAGATGTAATGCTGGCGTAGATCTTCAATATGAGTTTCAGGGTCACCAAGAGTGAGTGGTGGCGGGGAGACCAGGGCAAATGGGAGGGACTATGCTCAGAACAAATTTTCCAATTCAAAATAAAACAGCAACAATCATGACCACAGCACACCAGGCCAGCCACCAAAACATGCTGTGAGCTGAAGCTGGTCCTC